GACCAAGACAGAACCAATCACAAATAACAAATACATAGTCAAATAGCCTCCATTGATACTCCACTCTACAACTGGTTTGTTTTCTGGTCAATTATTTCTCATAATTTCTTCAACAACCAATGAAAACTGCTATTTTGAATCAGACTTATCGAAATTGCACACTTCGCCAGGGTGGACTTTGATGTACAAGATTGAGCTTCCTATTGGGGAAACGGCGTCTTTTGTTTGGAAGGCAAATTTTGCTACTTCGCCAAATTAAAATTGAGAATATAAGGTTAATTTGATGTTTTGTGTAAATTTCTTTCTATAGTTAGTTTAGAGCTCCATCAAATATCGTTAAAATAAAAACGTTCTAGTGCCGTTAGGCTGTTTAAAACTACACAACTGACAAGAAGCCCAAGTAGCTAGAAGCTGCCTTAACCTTTGACAATTTGAGACATTTTACTTGGCATTATTATAAAACTTGCATCAAGTTTTCAAATGCTGTTCAAATTGTATAAAGTTTCTTATACTATGCTATACTATACTTTACTCTAGACACACACACCACATTCCTCGGCCCTCAGAACTACGTTTTTATCTTAGATAGCAAACGATTTCTAAATTTGTTCGAGGTATAATGTAACCTTTTTGCCTAACTCATTCAATGAACCAGACTACTGCACTTAATGGACATTTTGATACTTAATTCAATACCAATGAAAATGGGAGGGGAGTACAAAGCCCTGTGTATAATGAAACATATCTAGAGAAATCCTACCACCATTTTTTGTTAGTTTGGAGATCCTTTTTAATGAGAACCCAAGTCTTTTAAGGGTTTTCTGCTCATTCTCTGATTAACGGGGATGTTGCGGGACACATCTGCATTCAGGGGCGGAGCGAACATTAATCAAAACTTAAATCTAAGGACTTAGCAACTTCACATGAAGTGCTGTAGGCTATCAAATATGATTTTGAATTCGTCATTAAGGGTTACGCGGACGCACTGTCACAAAAAAGATTTAAAATGCCCTAATTTATTATTAAATACAAAGAACATTCGAGTATTGATGTTTAACCTTTTTTGTAGCTTCTCTACAAAGTTATAAAAGGAGAAGAGATAAAGTACGAAATGGATCACGCTTTGGTTAGCAGGACAGT